CGTCCCAATTATATAGACTGAGTTTCCTTTTTCCTTTGTCCCAAATATATAAGTTTGTTTCCTAATTTAGAATATTTTTTTTGAATCTTTACCAATATACTCTTATTCAATTTTTCCCGCTTAATATAATACCAACTTCTTGAAATCATCTAAAAACATATATTTCCCACTTCTTGGAAGCATAAAACATCTCTCATTTTTTCTTTTCCAAAATAAACTATTCAAATTATTTACTAATTCCAATAAATAATTTATTACTACATCCTGAAAATTAAATGGAGATAAATTAGGAAAGATCTTAGCAAAAATTAATTTTCCAATGATATTAAAAAAGATTTCTTAATCCGTGTGAAAAACGAAACAAGCCTATATAATTGGGACGGAGGGAGTATGAAATTTTTCTAGATTCCTTTTTTTTATGTGTCAATATGTTTTAAGTGTGATTATTTGTACTTTTGAAACGTTATGAAATTTCATTTGTATTTCTTGTTGTTTTACTACTTTCTTTTATGTTTATTTATTTGAAGTGAATGACAAATTCATCATTTAAAGGTCAAAATGGAGGGAATGACGTGTTTTGCTATATAATCAAAAGAATGGAGACGAATTATAAAAGGGTTGAGGCTATATTTGTCACATTTTGCAAATATTGAAAACGAAAAGTGCAAATTTCTCTATGTAATTGACAGAGTTAGGGACTTCATATACATTTCTTTCCAATTGTCAATATGTAAAGGAATTCCAGTGATATAAATATGGCACCTAACTCAATAAATAAAGTTGAAAATAGAGACAACTTCTCGTGTAGACATGCTATATTTTAGTTGATTTAATTCTTTCATCTGTATCAATAAATGCTTCTTACTTTGTTGAAGCCACCCAATAATTCCCAAAACCTAAAGGCACCACAACTTGTTCACATTGAACAAATATTCCACATGTCACATTGGACAAATATTTTCTATTTTCTAATTGTTCGTTATCAAGTATTGATTCGTAAGCTAATTTATTATATTTACTTTCGAAGAGTTACGACTGCATATTATTATTACTTACGGTGTAGGACGGATCCAAGATTGGATTCAAGAAAAAAAAAATTTAATTTGCCTTACAAATTTATTTTTCTTGGGCCTTGGGGGGGACTACAGCCCTGCCCAATCCCCCCTGTATCCGTCCATGCGTACGGTTGAAAATAAAGATTTTCATTTTTTTTTTCCGTATTTATGTGGTAATATCAATTTTTTTACATTGGGGTGTTACACTATCACATGCATAGGATAGGAGAAAAAGAAAGAGAAAATCAATATACAACACATTTTAAAGAAAGTCACTCAAAAAGTTTCCAATTTTGCATGAAGATTATGATCTAACTGTCAAAGCTTTTCTTTACACATTGTTTGTGGAATAAATTGTGAGTTTTATACATGTGAACAATATAGATGAACAAAATTTGACCAATGACCAATATATTATAAAAGAAGCCTACAAACTAGTATTATTCTCGATCGAATTATTAAAGAAAAACCACAACCATTCTTAGATAATCAAAATTGGAGATCGAAATAATCAAAAAGAGGGAAAACAATGTTTTTGAGGAAAAAAATGATGCGTTGAGGAAATACCGAGCCCTTGTTTGTTTCTCATTCTTTTTCAATTAAAATAAAAAATATGATCGTTATCCATCACATCAAGCCACCAAATTTGAACTTTTATTTCTTGTATGGAGTCCATAACGGTTATATTTTTCATTCTCATTCTTACAAAAATGGGAAAAAAAGACCCCTGAATTAGCGACTACGGACAGTGGCATCACGACCTGCCTCTAGAGTTTAGATTTTGAAGGTTTTAAGCCAACTTTATGTGAAACCTTTTACAAATATTTGAAAAGAAAATTATATGCACAATTAATAAAATATATTTAATAAAAGCATTAGTTAGACAACTGTATAGAGTCGGAAGCTCTTAATAAAAATCTTGGACCTACCCTTGATCGGACCCTCGATAGCATAATAAATGTATGGGGTAGTGCCAAACATAGAGACAGCGTATTAAACACAGTTTGGTAGTAGATGCACCAAAATTCAATTTCACTAACAAAAGTTGGCATCAATTTTTTCTCACTCACATCTAGCTGTCTCTTGCAATTCCATCACTCCTTTCTTTTTCAACTACCATATTAATTTTAACATAAGATTGTACCTTACTACAATTTTATATTATATAATTTCTCACGAAACAACGACAGATAGTGTACCATAATAACTATATCAATATAACTTTTCAATCAAAGATTTTATCAATTTTTATTAAAATCTACTAAAAATTTGATTTTAATTTCTACCAAACAGGGACTAAATGGGACCTTGTGGGTTCATAACAATTTATAGGAAGCAACTTCCAAACTTTATATTTGCATTTTTCCTCTTTCAAAATCATATCATAAACCAATACCCAAAAGCAGCATGGCCAAACCCACCACCACCACCACCACCACCAATATTAAAGCTTACTCGCTCATTATCACCACCGTGTTCTTGGTGGCGCTTCCATGCTTAAGAGCTCAGTTGACACCCGTCCCCGCCCCGGAGTCGACGGTTGCTCCGGGGCCATTGGCACCTTCACCAGGAGGGGATTGCCTCAGTTACTTGTTTAATTTAGGTGACTGCTTAACTTTTGTGGCAACTGATAGCAATTTGACTAAGCCAGATAAAGAGTGCTGCCCTGAGCTATCGAATTTGCTGAATACAAAGCCAATTTGTCTCTGCCAAATGCTTCGTGATCCGAGTCAACTTGGAATGAGCATTGATATGAAGAAAGCCTTACAACTCCCTTCTGCTTGTCATACTCCTCCAATCAGCTTGTGTTCAGGTACGTCCAGTCAAAATAAGCAACCATTTTTTTTTTTTTTTTAAAGAAATTCGCTATTTCTGTCTTTTCTTTTCTTTTTTTAACCTCATTTCCCTTGTAATAGCCACAATCTATTATTTTAATTTAGATCAAACGGTTTAACAGTTTCTCGTGGAAGAGGTGAGACTCTAAAGAATTAAGAATTTGAATTCTGGATTTTTATACCATTTTTAAATTTTAGTTACTGTTAAAGAATTTAGTGATAGTAGAAAATAGAGTAGAAAAGATGTGCAATTTTTGTACTCAACACAATTTTTGTACTCAACACTCGAGTCCCTCCTTTGTTTTGTTAGAAACCAGATTTTTGAAAAGTTATAAACCTCATAAAATGTGTCGTTATAAATAAATTTTAAAAAAATGAATTTAAAAAAAGGAGCAAAACAAGAACTTAATAGTAATTTATATATATATATATATAAAATAATAAACATATAGATTAATTTTATAGTATTACTAGCTAATAATTTACTCTAGCAGAAAGATTCTTGATTAATTAGGGCTCATTTGTCGGGTTTTTGAAAATTAAAAGTTTATTTTGATATTAAGAAGCTGAATATGTTTGAATAATTTTCTAAAAATATTTTATTTGACAAGAATCGAAAACAAAAAGTAGAACATGGCCCTTAATAAATGTCACGTGCTGGCTGGAAAAAAAATAAAAAAAAGCAAGATCTATCTTTGGCTCTTTTTTTTTTTTTTTTAAAGAGAAATTGTTCTCTTGCTCTCATCAAGCAAAATAAGACTACCTACTTATTGATGTAGCAAAGTAAGGTTCACTCCAAAGTGTGAAAAATAAAGTTATTTTCAAAGTGGATAGGAGAACAAGAGTGTTTTTTCAATAACTTTTTTTTTTAACTACACATTCTCTCATAAAATAATTTTATACATAAATTGAATTTTTTTTAACCACACATTCTCCAAAAAATTACTATTCCAAAGAGCCTGTTTGGGAATGATTTTGAAAATTAATTTTTTGACCGTTAAGAGAAAAGTGGGGTCCACCCGTGAGAGAAGAAATCAAATATAATGCTGAAATAGTGAAATAACGGTCAAAAATCAATTTTTTGGAAGAAAAAATCGCTCCCAAACAAGCCCAAAATATATTTCCTTACCAAAATGGGGGCCAAAGCTTAGAGATTATTTTTTATGTTTTTAATTTTAAATATTGTCCCATTTCATCTTTTTTAAAACAAACTTTTTGAATTTGAATGTTGGCCGGAGATTATTTATTTTATTTTTAAGAATCCACACTGATTTTAATATTCTTTAAATTGAAATTTCTGTCCCCACAACTTTATATCTCATTGATTTGAGGACCAACTAATAACGTGCTCACTGTCCTGTCATGGACAAGTCCATGCAACCCCGAATTAATATTAATTATTAATTACAGCAATACTAATTTTCTCTAAATTCCCCAATTGTTGATTGGTTGGTTTATATTTAATGTTCTTAATATTTATTTGCACATTTTTACGATGATATTAAGATTTAATTTTAGATTACTTCTCGAGAATTCTAATCAATATTATGCTTTGTAATTTGTAGTCCTCGGTGTTCCGGTAGGAGCTCCAACACCAAGTGAAGGCCCTTCAGGCGCCCCTTTTAGTATGTTCTCTTACTCTTGATTTTTCTTTGAAATAAATATTCGTAATGAGAAAAATCATAATTACGTATTTACGAGTAAACAAATATGTCAAGTGTCTCTTATTCTTAATCGTACTTAGTCTTGTCAACTTCATCCTATTGAACATATTTTACATGCTGTAGTAATTTAGAAAAAAAAATTGCTTAATTCTTATTTTCTACACATTAATTTTTTTTTTTTCTGAAAAATAGGTGGACCAGTTGCAGCAAATCCAGCACTCGGGAATCGTGATAACGGAAGTCCAAGGAATTTAGCCTCAACCCAACATTTTCTTGTTGCATTAGCAATCCTATTATTTATAAATCGCTTTTATTAGAGCATTTCTCTAGGTCACTTATAATTATTGATTTTCTTCATTAATTATATCTAGATATTCCATCTCATGTCACCTTAATAATGTGTTAGAAATTGATATCCTGTAATTTATTCCAAGATTTAAATTATCATTGCCTGAGACATTTAAATTTATTTATCATTTGGGGTTTTTATTGAATTAGATTGGAAAATTCAAAAATTAATCCTAATGGAACAATTACAAAGAACATATCTAGACTCAATGTAATCGAATAATCGTCACTTTTCGGTTCTCTCCACTATATCAAACATATTTTCCAATAGACAAACAAATGTACACCGAAAAATTTTCTCACGCCCCGAATTCGTCTCCATATCGAGCCAATATGGCAGTTACATGATATACTAATCACTCAAAAGAAAACAATGTAATGAATGTTAGAAAGTAGCCATTTGCGCACAGTTGCTGGTTCTTACACTGAAGAGGACACCAGCTCCTGGACGGTAATGGGGCGGCAAATAGCAGCCAATGGATCGCCCGACCAGGCTGAATTAGCCAGCAATGAGTTCACAGCCGGGGTAGGATTGTATAAGTCCCACCACACGTAGCTTGAGGATTGATTGCAAGCCATGTCCGTAGAGAGGCACCCAGTCATCCCATGATGCCTGCCTAGTCCACAACACGCGTTATGTACATCCTTAACTCCTGCAAGTTTTAGCGTAGATCAGCAAACTAAATCACCTAAATATGTCTTGAACTTTAAGCTTAATGGTTGAAACTGAATATATGAATCGACCGGCAAATGACAGAACTGAGCCTGAGTTTTTTTTTTTTTTTAGCCTATATGCGTTTTACATAGTACCCATATTATGTACATCCTAAACAGAAAGAAATGCAGGATAAAACATAATCATTTGACAGTTTGAGAGTTTTCTAGTTCTAAGCCGAAGTACGATGGTCTTGGAAATAGAAGAATAAAAGTACTAAATCGTACCATAGTTTTGAGGATTGTTGACGAACTCCATTATGGCTCGATAAACATCACAAAAGATTATATGGGCACCTGATAACTCTGCATTAAGGGCAACAATCTTCTCCTCCAGCCTAGTGTTATATTCAGATACCAGCATATTGACCTCACTGGCGCAACCCCTTCTATCAACATTCATAGAAAGCATTCGTGGTGCACATCCCAAAGGTAGAATGCCTGCGCATACTATCTTCCTTGCATCATTGGCATAAAGATTTCTGATTGCATTTGTCATCTGGTTAACCAAAATATGAGTAAAGTTTTGGCCACTGAATCTAGGACTTATCCTAGATGAGTTACTAAGGAAGTAGTCAATGAAATCATCTTTTCCAAGCGAGAGGTAGAAGAGGGAAGATTCGATGAATTCTGTGGCGAATTCTTGGCCGAGCCAAAGCTGTAATAGTTGAATAGTCTCAAAAGTTTGGCGTAATTGCTGGTTTAGAGACTGGTAACCTCGACTCCCCACGTATAGGATGGTAGCATGTGCTGCCCCAAAGTTCACTCCAGTTAGAAGGTCATGAATTGTTCCATTTTGGCTGTAAAATGGTACGGCATATGACAAATTCATTTTCTTAGCTGCATCAAACAAAAAATATCATAATCAAGCAGGCTATCACAGAGTTTAGATACAGATGAAATCTGACAAGTCGTACACCAAAATTCAACATTTGCCATAACATTGATTCAAGAATGCTAACAACATAAAGTTTTGTCTGTGTCAAAAGAGGAGTTTATAATCAGATTTTTTAACATTTTCTCAACTCAGTTCTTCCAGATTGCTAGAGTAAAAATCAAAGATTTGCAATAAGAAATAAATATAGGACTGCGATTCTCATTCTAATTCTTCAATCATCAAGAAAATAGTACCGTTATTCTCCCTAAAATCTATGCAATCGTAATTGAGGATCACGTTAACATATCAGACACGTTAACATATCAGAGACATTCTGGTGTTAGCAATGGCAGTAATGAAAGAAAATCTGGTAACACGAGGACGTCTCAAAGATGGTGAATTTTACACGTGCCCATTTTTAATTTTCATAATACCCACAAACAAAAAATAGCAATAAACATTTTATAACAAAATTGGACATACCAATTTCAAGAAATCCAATTCAGATTTATAGGAGACCAAAATATTATCAAGAAACTCTATATTCATCATCAATTTCTACAACTGTGTGTGTGTGTGTGTGTGTGTTTTTTTTTTTTTTGGGGGGGGGTGGGGGGGGGGGGGCGCTGAAAGAGATTACCAAGAAGATGAGGAACAAGACTCGAATCAGAGCCATTGCATGGATACAAGGAGAGACTGTGGTGTATGAGATTGTAGAACGGAGTGTTCCCTCCACAATCAACAGAAGAATCCCCCAATATGTACATTGCCTTCACTGATGATTGATTTGAAAACCTCAATTCCAGAGCATCATGTTTTACACTGATCACAAAAAATATCACAAAACATAGAGCATGAACTAACCCTCTATTCGCCATTTCTGATGCTTTCTGTAACTCGTAAGTACTGAAAAGGGTTAGGACTGAATCTTGTTCATTTTGTACTAAAATTCAAGATTTTCTTGATTATTTTGAAAGCTTGTTTTGATTCTTCTTGGAGATTTAGGCAAGATAATCGTAATTAAAGGGTTTTAGAGACCAAAATATTTGTTTCAGCATGTCTTCTGAGAAAATAGATTTTACTATAGTCATTTTTTAAATAACGTGCAATTAAAAAGTTAAATAAATTTATTTACATGTAAAATAATTTTATTAAAAGAATGTGTGAATAAAAATGAGCTTGAAAGAAAAATGAATTTTTAAAATATGTGACTCATAAATAAGCATAATATATCTCATGAGTTTTGGTTTGGAAGTTCAAATTTTGAGACCAATTCAGGTTGTTTCGGGTCCTTGCAATTGTACATAGAAATTTATAGAGAATCTAGAATTTCTTCATGGACGACGAGATTTAAACGAAAACATTTTCCTCATTTTTAAGATTAAAGAAGCCAAGTCTTTTTCGTGATTTTGATATTGACAACTTCATCGGAAGGTTACTTTTTTTTTAGAGGTTTGGGAGTAATCCTCGACCAACTTGGACAAGATGAATTGGTATGGAAGAGAAGTATTGCCTTCGCCTATTTATAAAAATTGTATACATATGAAATTATGATAATAAATTCAGATGCAGTACACATTGAAAACTTTAAAATGCGTACATGTAACATATTTGGATTCAAGTTCAGCTCAGATTTGGCTTAAAGTATAAACATTTTACTTATTTTTAATTGTATTTATAAGTAGTTCATGCTCTGTTTGTGATTACTTGCTGAAATAAAATGTCAAATATTCACTACGTTGAGCCACCAGGTAGGACATAGTAGGTGGATGGTGCCTGAACACGATTTCTATCTGCACTTGCCAAGAATACAATGACTAGAAATCCAAGCTCGACTTGATGCAGAGATGTCATTGAAACTTTCAGATGACTCAAAAACCAAACTGTCGATACATGCACTCAAAAGTAAAACAAGTTGCAAAACTGAAAAAGATGCAAATTTTCATTCATGTCAAGGCATCAACGAATTAAGGCTCACTCCCAATTTCATCTAAAAGAGATTTTATAGAAGGGATCAAATATTTGGTTTAAAATCTAAATGCCAACGTAGCAACAAAAGTCAATTAGACTGTAATTCCATCCACGTCTAGCCAAAGACTAGAGAACTATAACCTATCCTTGACCCTTAAGCTTTCGAGTTACCTTGTGCTTATAATGCCACCCATTCCTATCGCCATTGGTTTGGTTGTTCCTTGCAGCAACTAAACATTGCTCACTCTGGCTACCTTTACTACTTATTTGGATCTTACGCCTCCTCATCCTGTTTTCTAGCCGTATGCCTCTTAAAGTGCGGACTCTCTGCTCGATCTCCAGAGCTTGGGAGAAGTTCCAGATTCTGACAATACCCTCTTCACCTCCGCAAACAATACGATCACAACCAATGCAAACTGAGAACAAATTGCGGCCAAACCCATGGAGCATTCTCTGAGGAGGTTCTACATGTTTTTGGTCCATGTGATCGCCCTCAAAAGAATTTTGAATTGGAGAGTGCCTGCTTGTCTTTTTCAACAATTTTCTCACATCAATAAGTGAGATTTTACCATCACTGGAAGCTGAAACCAGCCAAGGGAATTCAAAAGCAAGTGAATAAACAGAACCTGTGTGAGGAATCCATGTTGCGATCTTTCGCACATTACACTTAGCATTTCTTGCGATCCCAAACATGTGTATAGAACCGTCTTCTCCTCCGGTAAACAGGAGCTTCCCAGTGTGACTGCACGTAAGAGAATATGTGTTGCCAACATGTGCTCTATTAATAACGGCAAGAGTAGTTCCACTAGTGATGTCCCAGAGGTGTACATCAGAACCTGCTGTGCTCATTAGTAGAGTATCATTAGGTACAAGGCTCCAAACCCAATCATTGTGCACCAACACCTTCAAACATTTCAAAGTAGAACGATCCCAAATACATATAGTCATGTCCCAAGAACCACTATAAATCTTACCAAAATCCAACGCAAGACAAGTTATGGGACCGTCATGTTCCCAAACTCGAAATTCCATATTCTGATTTTGAGGTACACAGAGGTCAAATAAGTGAGCATTCCCATCCTCTGCCTTCCAACCATGTATGAATCCATCTGTACCCCCAGCAACCAAAAGCCTTGTATCGGCCGCCAATGAACGAATAGTACACCCAAGAGGCCTGGATGATGCGATTGACAACCCTTCCTCCATGTCCCACATTCTCACAATCTGATCATAACCCGAAGTAAAAACAATCTTCTTAGAAGCCAACACAAAAACTGCCCTAATTGCTTCAGTATGGCCATATAGAGTATCAATACTGAAACGTCCCATAAAAGTCTTGCTATGGAACTCCCTCTCCACAAACAGCTCCTTCCATGACTTCTCGTCCGAATTCCCTGGCCCAAAGTTGTCTGGTGTTATTGGATGGCCCCACCTCTCACAGTAAAACTCTTTCCACACATGGTGCTCCGACGCAAGCCTATAAAAATAAGTGTTGACACAGGACAGAATGCCCAGCTCTTTTGGATCAAGGCAGTTGAGGATTTCAGATATCAATGCCGGGGGAAGGTCAGTGATGGGCCAACTATTATTGAGTAAACTTTCATTGACAGAAAGGGCTGTTTTGGCATTTAATTTCGATATTGATTTTGGATTTTCAGACTCAAAAGTAAATTTTTTTATATTGTTAATCAATATGACTTGAGGATTGTCAACTTCTTCTATGCGCGGTACAGTCTGCTGGCATTCAAATGCCATAAAATTACCTATCTATCTAGATGAAAAATGCAACCCTTCAAAACACAAAAACCCACTGGATGTGATCAAATTTCTGTAAAATACCCAATAATTAATTCGAAAGCTCAAAGAAAAATTATAGAAAATCCCAAAAAATTTAACAAAATCCCCCAACTAACCACACCCTACAAAAGCAGAAATTTAGCCTAAATGTCAAAACCTAGTAAATGAAAAATACAAGACTAAATTTGAATCTAATAAACCTCGTATAAGACTAAATTTGAATACCTCAGAAATGAAGCTGCGGTTTTTTTGCTATCAGGAACACTGACTTAAGGAAAAAATTCAGTTGATGATAGAAATTCTTCAACAATTTTCTCGGGCAAATTCCCCGCAAAAAGCTTATCCGATTCTTGTGGCGGGTCGGGTTTGCCCTCTCTATTTCATAGTTAAATTACAATACGCACCCAACATTTTTTTGATAATTTCTTTTAGCTCCCTCTGTTTTTTAGACTCACAAAGCTATCCGATTCTCGTTTTTTAATTAATGTTAAAAGCATAGTTATCATACCCGAACAATTAAAAACCACTTGATCAACGGATTAGGAATCCAGCCAATTGATTATTCTTGATTATGAATTTAAATAGAAAATATTTTATACATTGTCATATTCATAGTTATAGCATTTGATTTCCTTTGTTATATGTTATGAATTGTCATATTTCTTGATGCAAATCTAAGAATTTATTATTACTTTATGAATTATATTAATGCAAATTATATTGTTTATTATTAAATTTTTTTTTGTTAACAAAATAAAAATTTTAAATTACATATCTCCCATTAATATAGGCTTACTTTCATTATTATTTTTTGTTATATAATAGCTCTATTCTTGTTACATAATCTCTCCATTTCATTTATATAAGCTCATTTTTCTTATTTCTTTGTCTTAATTATATAGTCTTGTTTCTTTATTGAGCTTGTTTTGTTTTGTTCATTGACTAATATACTTTTATTTAATTTGTCTAGTTATAACCAATTTTTCTACTTAATTTTCAAATTGTACAAATATAAATAAGGGTAAATTAGGAAAATTAATGGCAAAATTCATTTTTCAATAATATTAAATAAGATTTCTTAATCCGTGTGAAAAACAAAACAAGCTTCTAGAAATGGGATGGAGGAAGTATATCTCATAAATTGATTTTAAAAACTTACGAGTATGGTAAACAAAATTTTACTCACATAAAGTCAACTCAATAAGCATCTTTTGTCACTCGGGATGAGATACTTTTCGAACAACAATATCTTTGAATGAAAAAAGATAAAAAGTACAAGATTTCACTTGGTGATGGTTTTATTTTGCAAAAAAAAATTAGCTCTTAAGTCAATTTTGATAAAAGTTATATGTCACACGAAAATGCGTGACTAAAAAGTTGATAAAAGTGGTGAGTTATTGAAATGTGTAATTAAAATTAATTTTGACTTTGATTTGATTTTTATCAATTTTTTAAGCAAATCCAAAGTAAAGTCGTTAAAAATGATTCATACAATCGACACCAAGTTTATCCATCCATAAGCAAAGAAACCGCTGAAATAATTCTAGTGTAACTCCGTATGTTTTCCAGTGAAAGAATTGGTCTTTTGTCCTCCGGTAATCCTGCAAAAAGAGGTTGGTGCTCCCTCCCCCGTTTTACCTCCAATGTGAGAGTCAGTAATCGTTTTCAGATAAAGGATGTTAAAGAAATGCAGTAGTGATAAAAGAAAGAATTTTTCCTGGAAAAAGATAGAACCCCCTTTACCTGACACGTTCATGGGATATTTATAGGCGTCTGACATCACGTAACCGCTGGGCAATTGCCATCCACGTGTCCCCATCAGTCTAGCATCACATAACCGCTAGACAGTTATCATTCACGCGTCCTTATGAGACTTGCCCGCTCTTCAGGCGGTTTTTCCCATTTATTCAGTTACTCGGGTAGTGGGTTTAATAATAACTATTTGAATGGTTGTTGACTGATTCCAATGTTGTTCGGATAGACGGCGGTTGCTCCGCGTGTGGCTGGGTCGGATTAGCATAGTAATTAGCACTCTAATATGACGAGCGCCACCTAACATGCCAAAGCTGTCTGTACCTTATGAGCAAGTGAAGGTTGCGTCAGTCGAGCTGACACTACGGTAGTCGTCATTTCATGATAGGCTACCTGACATAACGGGGGTCATCCTCTCTCTACCAGTCGTCTTAATCAATTATTTGAACCACACGATATCACTAGCCCCCATACCTTTTGTTGATTTTTATCACTAAGAGGTAGCGTTGTTGGATGATGTCGCAATTTATTTTCTTATTATTATCATTTGACGAGGTTCGTGTTGAAGAACAGGCACTTGCGTACACGCAACACTCGGATTGTCAGTTTTCAAAAAAATTGGCATAACTTTCGCATACGGTGTCCGTTTTGGACCCATAACCACATTTTGAAAAGCTCGTGACGATTCGAAATGAACTCACCACTTTGCTGTGACGTATAATGGATTTTGGCCATTTGAAATCGTTTATTAGGTCAAAACGGCATTTGAATTTTTTTTTTCCGCGTTGGGTCGAATTAATAGAGAGGCCTACAATTTAAAGAAGATCCATAAGTAGGTTGACTCGCGGGCTTGGGCCTTTTGTGAACCCTAAAATTTTCCTATATAAAGGGAACGTGATCTCTTTTTTTCTTTCACAACTTTTTCCCTCTTGTAAATCCTAAGTGTTTTTTCTTTCTGTATTCGTCTCCAAGGTAATCTCCCTATTCCTCTCTTATTTTTCTTAAGATTCTAGTAGCTCATCATTATTTCTCGATGTACAAGGTTGTTCTATCATCTTCATTGTCTTCTAGTCCAGAACGTTCCAATTCATCCTCCTGGACGTCGAGTGGGGGCCAAAGTAGATTTGAACATGAGAGTGAAGAAAGGATGGAAGTGGGACGGACGGCCGATCGATTCGGCCGGTCGACCACCCCGATCGATTGACCAGATCGATCGACCGACTGGACCGATCGGCCTAGTCGATCTGTTAAGAATGGTCACGTGTTTAATCAACCTTGTGTTGTTGATAGTCTTCTTGACCTTTTAGACCATTCAATTTTCGTTCAATGTCCTCCTAAAAATCACATTAGCTCTTTCAAGTCTCCAACCTTCAACTTTGAGATCGGTCGAGATCCTACGGGGAGAGTTGTAGTCCTTGATATTACAAAGGGGCCTAGCTCCTATAATTGTCCAACCAAGTTAGATCAATTGCTTGATAGGTAGACACGCGTTGATGATTATATATATAGAGCCCCCAAGCCTAAAGAAGAACTTCCTGAGTCAGACCCTCACGAAATTGCCATGTATAAAGATTGTTTCGACGGAGGTTTGAGGTTTCCTATTCATCAATTCTGTCTCAATTTTTAACGAATTTCATCTTACACCAAGTCAAATAAACTCGAATACATGGAGAAAAACACTATGCTTTTTGTACATGTGCCTTAATGAAAAGATTGTGGCCTCCATTGAACTGTTTAGGTACATGTTAGAGTTGCACAACTTACCCCAATACAACGCGTTCGTGTATTTCACTACTAGGGTCCTTCTTCGCATTCCTAAGTATAGAAATTCCAATAGCAGGTGGCAATCTCGATTCTTCTTCGTTGGCCTTCTGAAGGTCGATTTTCATTCAACACTTATTGGAGAATCCCTCAAATCTGTCTTTTCAATAGTCATGTCGAGCCTACTCATCTTTTGAGTTCTCAAGTCCAACAACTGACCCGTATACCGCCTCTTGCACCCCTCCTCTCTCAAATCTTAACAGTAAGGAAGATGTTAACAGTGGGGATTGGTCAACCTGTTGGTAGGTCCTTATTTATAGCTTTTGATTTTCATTCTGCATTTTTCTTTGGCGTTGGCCCTTGCGTTCGATTTTCTTTGTTGTATGTACGCAGGTATGGACTTCGACTTGGCAGGAGTTTTGAGCTCACTACCTGAGCCCGAGCCTAAGAGCGATGAGGGATTGTCTCATGCTCCGCCCAAGAAGAAAAAAGTCACTAACAAGAAAAAAGAAAAGAATACTAACAGGGGGTCTTCTCTACCATTGGAGGTACCTGCGGGAGGAGTTCCATTGTATGATGCAGAAGAGGGAAACTCGAGTCCTGACGAGTTCTAGTTTGAGAATGATGGTTCTGTTGGGAATCTACTTATACATGCACAGCGAAAAATTAAAATTATTTTGATTCCCACCGAGGATCGTTTTGTGTTTAGATAGAAATCGTGATAAGATTGTACCTTTTAAGAATTCTGCAAACTTCTTTGTTATTCTTTTCGTTCCAGCAATTTTGATTCGCCACCCACAGCTGTCCAATTGTCCAGCCTCCAATAGTAATCCACACAGAGAATAAGATTTCAGCTACCAGAGTTTTCTCTCTTGTGCCAGCAAGCAAGAATAATGAAAACCATATGAATTGAAAACCTTAGCCTTTTATTTATATAAGCTCAAACGGTCCGGTCTAATATTTAACTAAACCATTTAATTAAATCCGGTCTATGAATTAATTAATCCCATTAATTAATTTGAGCCTATAAATAACCAACCCAATTAATTAATTTATCCAACGATTGTTAAATTAATTAATTGATAAATTACAATCTTCCAATTCTCTTTTGTGTGTGATCCATCAGGCTCCCGATCATGATACCTAACGACGTGAAATATTATTTTAATTTAATCAAAATTGATAAATTAAAACACCCTTTAATTTATCATCAATTCACACTCGCCGTCCCAGGTTGACATCTAGCAATGTGTCAGGGCAATACACGTGACGGGAAATGTCACGTGGTATGACAAAACCAAACTCGTTCGTTTACCGTGAAACTATAATCCCTTCGTCAATATGATCCGATCAATTACGAGATATGGAAGTGTGTCAATCTCGATTATCGATCATATCTTTCACTCCACTATTAAGTCAATATAAGTCAAAAACACCTTTTCGACTTATGAGTACACATTAGCCAAGGATTTCATCATCGACTTAATTGAATGAAATGCAGATCATAATCTCCTACTATCTAAGAGTGACGAATCCTTTATTGATCAATCACAACCTTCATACGATTCTTGACGTACCCGAACGATGTTGTATTAGCGGCCCTTTGCAGAGCAACATCTAACACCGTCAAAGTATGACTGTCCTTATATAAGGTACCATGACGACCTCAAGTCAAAGGACCAATTCCACTACCGAACGTTTAGAGATTAATCACTAACACTCAGATAATTATTCATGTGGAATCTCTCGGCGGATCTCCAATGTTTTGTTCTATAACAAAACATCCACGTGTTCATTTAAATGTCACCACACTTTAACTTGTGAGATCAGCTACTTACTTCAA